ACTAACTCACATGAAATAGAATAAAATGTGTCATTTACTAGCTGTATGACCTTGATCAAAGCCTTTAGCCTGTCGCCAAGCCTCAGTCTCCTCACCTGGAACAGGCACGTAAGCAGTCAATAAACGTCTAGTATTAGTAGCTGCAGTAGTAACATCATTACGGATATTTTGTACTCGGACACTATCACTTCTTAGTCAAATAGAACTATCTATACGCTGTTGTTGTGAAGAGAGAAGAAATCATTTGAAGTGTGAGCCTTGTTTTCTAAAAAAACTCTATATCATTTTGTATAGGTTTTGACCCACCATTTTTGTAATTCGTGCATAGCATTATGTCCAAATGCTTTTAAAATTCCAGACCACTCCTGTACTGAACATTCTCAACACAGCAACCAAAGTGATCCCGTTAAAATATAAACTAGGCTCCGTCACTCTTCCTTTTTTTTTATTTATTTTTATTTTTTTTAAAGATTTTATTTCTTTATTTGCCAGAGAGAGAGCACAAGCAGGGGAAGCAGCAGAGGGAGAGGGAGAAGCAGGCTCCCTGCTGAGCAGGGAGCCCAATGCGGGACTTGATCCCAGGACCCTGGGATCATGACCTGAGCCGAAGGCAGACACTTAACCACCCAGGCGCCCCTGGATGGGAATTTCTTTTTTTTTTTTTTAATTTATTTATTTGAGAGAGAGAGAGAGAGTGAGAGCACGAGTGGGGGGAGGGAGGGGCCGAGGGAGAGGGAGCCCGACATGGGGCTCCATCCCAGGACCCTGAGATCGTGACCTGAGCCGAAGGCAGAAGCTTGATGGACTGAGCCACCCAGGCATCCCAAGGCTCTGTCACTCTTCTGTTGAGAACCCAGCAGCATCTCCCATTCTCACTCAGTAATTCAAGTCAAAATACTTACTATGGCCTACCAGCCTTATGGGGTCCAGTCGTGGTCTAGTCGCCAGTTACTTTTCTGATGCCTTGTCCTGTTACTCTCTCTCTTGTTCATTCTGTTCCCACCACATTGGCTTCCTTGTTGTCTCTCTAACACCCCAGGCAAGCTCCTGCCCCAGGGCCCTTGCAGATAACTATACAATTCACTTCCTTCAGACCTTCACTCAAAGGTCATCATCTTCTTGGTGAGTCTTCGGGGACCACCCTAATAAAAACTTCAACACCCTCCAGGCACTCCCTGTATCTTTTCCCTGCCTTTATTTTCTTCAGAGCCTTCGCTGCCTTTTAGTATTTGATATAATCATTTGTTTGTTTTGCCTGTTCCTTCCCCACAACTAGAATTTCAGCTCTGTGGGAACAGGGACTCTTTGTTTGGTTCACTGCTGTAACCTCAGTGTCTGGCACATAGTAGGTTCTCAAACATCTGAATAAATGAAAAGTCTTCAGAGGGGATAAGGGGAGCTAATAGAAGTACAGAAATATTGCTAAGGAGTGCAGGGGGTGAACGGTGCTTTTAATGCTAGGAAAATTGTCATTTAAGGGCCTTGTCTATCATTCTAAGGAGCTTGGATTTCATCCTATAGGTGGTAGAAAGTCGGTGAAGGAGTCAGTGGTCCGCACTGAAATGTTAGAGATGCATTCCGAATGCACTGGGAAGAACAGGACTGGGTCAAGATTCACGCATGAGATGGGGGTAGCCTGAACTAAGAGAGTGGCAGTTGAGAATGTAGAAAAGGAGATGGATCTGAGAAGTACCATATTTAGAAGATAAAACTGATTGTACTTGATGACTGATGGGCTAGGGCAGTAAGAGTGAGCAGATAAGGAATCCCAGGTTCCTGGCTTGGGGCAGCCGGCTGAGCAGTCGTGCCATTTACTGAAATAAATACAGAAGAGGGGCACCTGGGTGGCTCTGTCGGTTAAGTATTTGACGTCGGGCTCCAGGCTGGGTGTGGAGCTAGCTAGATAGCTAGCTAGAAATAAATTTGATGTGGTCAAGATGAAAGGCAACACTGGGTTCTAGGTGTGTCAAGGTTTGAGAACCTGTGTGCTATCCCGGTGGAGATGTCCGGTAGGCAGCTGGATGCTTGATTTTGGAGCTCAGGGTGGGGAGGTCAGGGCCAAAGAGAAAGATCTGGAAGTCATCTACCTGTAGATGGTGTTTAAAGCCATGGCTACAGTAGAATTCCCTAGAGAAGCTGTATAAATTGAGGAGGACAAAAAGTTGCTGGTGATTAGTGCCAAACGCTGCCCAAAAATCCAGTAAGAAAAAAAAACAAAAACCCATCTACTAAATTTGGCAGGTAGGAGGCCCTGAGTGAATATATTTCATCTATTCAAATATTTCTTGAACATTTGCTATGTGTTGAGGATCCTGAAGATACAGTAGTGAACCAAACAGGCAAAAATCCCTTCTTCCACGGAGCTAAAACTCTGGCTGGGAGGAGTAGACAAATAAGAAAAGAAATAAGTAAATTATACCAAATCGTAAAAGGCAGTGAGTGCTCTGGAAGTAAAAGAAAATTTAAAAATTTAAAAAAAAAAAAAAAAAGGCAGGGAACCAAGGTAGGCCTGGCCAGAATCAACAAGCAGAGTCACGGACACGGCTCCAGACTGCAGTGAGTAGAGCAGCCAGTGGGGAGGGAGGAAGTGGAGTCTGCCAGAGCCTACCGCTGTTTCAGTAAGTGCAGACGAGAAGGGAGAGGGACGTCCATTGACAGAGGAGTGGACAGACACACGGTGGTACGGCCACACAATGGAATACTACTCAGCAATAAACAGGAAGAAACTATTGATGAACACAGCAACATGGATGAATCTCAGAAGCATCGTGCCGAGTGAGAGAAGTCAGTCTCAAGGGGCGCCCGGCTGGCTCAGTCGGAAGAGCATGCAACTCTTGATCTCAGGGTTGTGAGTTCGAGCCCTCCATGGGGTGTAGAGATTACTTAAATAAATAAAACTTTTAAAAAATACTTTCAGAAGCTAGTCTCAAAAGGTTACATGCTGTTTGCTTCCATTTGTCTGACATTCTCAAAAGGCAAAACTGTAGGGACAGAGAGAAGACCGGTGGCTGCCCAGGGCTGGGAATGGGGGAGGCCTTGACACAAAGGGGCAGCACATGAGAATGGTGGGGGTGGAAGGAGCAGTTCCGTGTCCTGATGGTGATGGTGGTCACACAAATGGGTACATATGTTAAACCTGCTAGCCCTCTACCCTGAAACCAGGTAATTTTACTGTCTATTAATGTGGGAATGAGAGGTTTGACTGTATCTGAAGGGCAAAGTCAAGATCGGCAGAAGGAATTGTTTTGAAGATGAGAGGGACTTGAGTTTATTCATTTGCTAAGGAGGAAAGTCAGGTCTCTTGGGAAGGGTGCCCAAGAGGAGTTCAAAGGTGTGAGATCCAGGGCACTGGTGGGAAGAAAAGATGTTTATGCGAAGAAGCAAAAGGTGAGGCCCTGTACAGTCTGTTTTCTCTATGAACCAGGAGACCAGGTGACCCACCTAGAGTAGAGGAATGGGTGCGGGGTGCCGGGCGTCAAGGGCTGTGGGAAGGTTTGGCAGGGCCGCCTTGAGGAACAGGCAAGGATGCTCTGAAGGCTCGGTTCGCAGTACGAAAGCCCAGCAGAGGTTGGCAACCTCGAAGGTTTAGTGGTACCGATCTGCCCCTTTGTGGATTCATCTTCAGTGGCTTGGGGCAGAGCAGGGGTGTGTGGGTGAGAGCGGCTGAAGGACGAGGGGCAAGGATTTTGAGTGTAGGAACAGAAAAAGCTGGGCGAGGATTGGAAAGGGAAGCCACTGAAGCCAGCAGGGAACTGGTGGCCTGCGGAAGACAGGAGGGGGCAAGTGCCTGGGGGCTTGTGATGAATAATAGCGAGGGAGGGGGCCAGTGAATGAGGACACCATGGTCCCGGGGCTTCTGAAGTCTAAGATTTGAGAGGTGGGTGGGGAGGACTAGTAACGTTAGGTAAGGGATTGTATTGCTATTTAGCATACTTTATTTTTTTCTAAGATTTTATTTTATTTATTTGAGAGAGAGAGAGAGAGCACAAGCAGGGGGAGAGGCAGGGGGAAAGGGAGAAGCAGACTCCCCGCTGAGCAGGGAGCCTGACGCGGGGCCCGATCCCAGGACCCCGAGATCATGACCTGAGCCGAAGGCAGACGCTTCACCGACTGAGCCACCCAGGCGCCCGTATTTAGCATACTTTCTATGTAATAGTAATAGCACTAGCTCATACCTACTGATCCTTACCATGCGCCTGACACGGCTGATCGCTTTACATGCATATCTCATTTAATTCACACAGCAGCCCCATGAAGTGGGTACTGTGAATAAGGAAACTAAGGCTCAGGAGGGTTAGGTAAGTGCCCAGGGTCACGTGGCCCGTACGTGAAGCGGCCAGAGCTAGACTGACTTGTCCGACTCCAGAGGTTCTGCTTTTCGGACTGTTAGACTATCCTGCCTCTCCCACATGCAAGATCTTTTTTGGTTGCTGTTTCTTTATTTATTTTTAAGTAATCACTACATCCAACCTGGGGCTCGGAACTCAGGACCTCAAGATCAAGAGTCGTGTGCTCTTCTGACTGAGCCAGCCATGCGCCCCTCCTAAGTGGAAAATCTTGATTCCACTTCACTAGAATGCTGTGCTGGTCTCAACTAGACGTTTCAGAAACAAACCAAAGTATGTGCGAAGCTTCATGTGAACTTGACACCGTTATTGAAAGCCAGCTCTGAGGGGCTGTCCCCCTCCCACTGGGCAAGAGGTGTCGGTTTTGTATAGAGATGGTCCACTGAAAAGTCCTTTTGGGGCGCCTGGGTGGCTCAGTCGTTAAGCGTCTGCCTTCGGCTCGGGTCATGATCCCAGGGTCCTGGGATCGAGCCCCGCATCGGGCTCCCTGCTCCGCAGGAAGCCTGTTTCTCCCTCTCCCACTCCCACTGTTTGTGTTCCCTCTCTCGCTGTGTCCCTCCCTGTCAACTAAATAAATAAAATCTTAAAAAAAAAAAGTCCTTTCACCTGACCCCAAAACTGTCTTCTACTGAAGGACAAAAACGTTACTTTCAGAGATGGAGCATGTTGGTGATCAGTCAGGATTGTTCTGGAAGTCGTGATGAAGTCCATGAAGTGGCCAAAGTTGTGGGTGGCCAAAGAGGCGTAAAAGTAAGGATCACTGAAGTCGAGGTCCAGAAACTGGGTGTGGGATGGGTTGGTTGTCTTATAGATGCTGAAGTTCCCTAAGATGATGGTGAATCTGGAAGAGGGGAAGCCACCAGGTGGCACCGTCTTCAGTGAATGGAGAAGACCTTCAGGAGGTCAAGAGATGCGAGCAGCAACAAGGAGTGTGGTTGAGGGACATGAGCCCCAGGCAAGAACTTCTAGCACAAGAGGGAAGGAATCGGGGTCTGGGGACAGTAAGAGGGAACTAGAAGAATGCCGCTATCCCTCTGCTTTTCACCCTGGGACATCTGGGATGTGGGGAAATGAGCAGCCCACGCTTGAGAACTTCACAGAGGAGGCATCAGTTAAGACGAGGAGACCAGGGGAGGAGGGGTATTTAGAAAAGGTTAAGGGCACGGGAGAACGTTTATCATGTCCAGGGGGCATAGGTTGGGAAGCGACGTTAAGTATGAAGTTTAGTCTGTCCTGAATGGTTGCTTCCTTCCAAGCAAAATAAGCCACAAATAGGTGAACGGGGTGTCCTGACTTCACTGCGCGTTAATATTCATTCTGAGCCCGTCGAACAAGCGCCCTGTGGCACCCATTCTTGGCAGGCATCTTGGCCAAGAGCATAACAACCAGAGCCCAGACTTGAGACCCTGGCTTCCCTGACTAGAACATTTCTTTCCTGGTGACCAAATCACCACGTCCCATCTTCTGTATTTCCTGCCAGGCTCAGAGCCCGCACCTTCCCCACCATGGAGGAGTGGATGTCCATTTCTCAGGAGCAGTGGACTGCTTCCGGCAGATAGTCAAAGCCCAAGGGGTCCTGGCACTCTGGAATGGACTGACAGCCAACTTGCTGAAGGTGAGAAGGGCGGTCCATCCCTTGCTTCCCCGCCTCTTTGGATTCTAGCCCTTTCCCTTGCCGCACCCCTACAGGTTGCCTGGGGACACCCCCGTCTAGCACTGACCCATGAGCGCGGGCTGGCGGTCAGCCTGGAGACAGGGGGACCCTGTGCAGTGGCAGGGCATCTGACACCCCATCCTGGAGGAGCTGAGCATTCAACGTAGAGGCTCCTGACATGGGGGTTCATGGACTCCTAAGGGGAACCTAATCTCCCAGCCTAACGTCCTATGCAAAAATGTATAGGTATGTGCATCTCTCTGGGGAGAGGATCCATAGCTTTCATCATATTCCCAAAGAATTTCATGACTCCCCCCCCCCCAACAAAAAAAGTTTAAGAACTCTGGACTAACCTCGAACAAGTGTCAGGTTGTCCAGAGGCATATTAATCCAGGCCATGCTCCCCCAACCCACACCGGGTCAGCTTTCATTCTGCCATCTTCCCCGACTCCAAAAAGAATGATGTTGTATTGTCCACAGCCTTTACCTCAGTTTACCCTGGTCCAGGTTGACTGCAGATGCACTGACATTTTCTTTTTAAGATTTTAACCTGATCTTCATTTCTTTTTAAACAGATAGTTCCGTATTTTGGAGTTATGTTTGGCACCTTTGAGTTCTGCAAGAGAATCTGTCTTTACCAAAATGGTTACATTGTGTCTCCTCTGAGCTGTAAATTGACCCCAGGGGTGGATCAGAGTGTGAAGCCCCAGGAATTGCGGGAACTTAAAAAGTTCTTCAAAACTGGACAGCTGAAGTCTAAAAAACCAACTCTTTAAAACTGAATGAAACAAGAAGTGCACTGCCCGAAGGCGTGTTATAATCATAAAAAAAAATGTCATCTCATAACTGTGTGTGCGCGGAGTGGCGAGAGGATACTCCCATCTGCTGCTCTTGGAAGTGAGAAGATTCAGCCACAGAACCAGCTCCAAGCTCCAAACGGATGTCCTGGTGATCACCTGTGCCCTGGAAGAGCTTCCCAACACGACTGCTGCATGGTGGCCTTCCACCAGATTTTATAACAAAAGCTAGCATTAACGAAACGTGCGATTACACTCCGTAAATGGGCAACTTACACGACACCAAAGCAAGGGCATCACCGTGACCTCAGAGTCTCATGTCCTCGAAGCAGCTGAGCAAGTAGCACATCCGGAGCTCAGCCACAGGGCTGCAGCTTGCACTAACCCACACTGGCCTCGCGTTGTCCATTCGACCCGAGTCTTCCCAACACGCTTGTTTCTGAAACTCCTAATGTTTGCTGACCTCTGCATAAATTACGCCCTATCAGAAGCTAAATGAAAGGGGCGCCTGGGTGGCCCCGTCGGTGAAGCGTCTGCCTCTGGCTCAGGTCATGATCTCAGGGTCCTGGGATCGAGCCCCGCGTCGGGCTCCCTGCTCCGCGGGGAGTCTGCTTCTCCCTCTCCCTCTGTGGGTACTCTCTCTCTCTCTCAAATAAATAAATAAATCTTTTAAAAAAAGAAACTAAATTAAAACCTTTAACATTTAAAAGTCCTCACTCTCTCATAGTAGAACCGTCCTTTTTTATTTAAAATTGAAGCATCTCAAGCTTAAGGATTTCAGGAATCTTTTTTCAGGAAGGCGGTTTTTACTGTGACCGCTTAATGCCCCAGAAGACCTTCTTCCAATTGAAATCATGTACAGTTGAAGTGGCCTGAATTCCCTGCCTTTTCCACTTGCTTTGCAAGCCTACCCTGAAAATAAATTATTTAGTCAACTTAGTTATTCTCACAAGATGTCCCAGTTGCCTAGAAAAGGATCACACATATCAAAAAGAAAAATAGAACTGAACGAAAACACTTCAGGCTAATCATCTCTACTCGATTTTTTAAAAATCAAATTTTGGGTTGTTCCACTTTGGGAACTCCATGGCAAGATTATATAACCTTGGGCGCCTGGGTGGCTCAGTTGGTTAAGTGACTGCCTTCGGCTCAGGTCGTGATCCTGGAGTCCCGGGATCGAGTCCCGCATCGGGCTCCCTGCTCGGCAAGGAACCTGCTTCTCCCTCTGACCCTCCCCCCTCTCATGTGCTCTCTCTCATTCTCTCTCTCTCAAATAAATAAATAAAAATCTTTAAAAAAAAAAAAGATTATATAACCTTACTTTCAAATAGTGCCTATCTATGCATTAAAAGACAGTAATATTAAATTGTTAATTTACACACACACACACACACAGGCTTTCAGTATGTTGGAAGTATTTTTCCCTGTTAAATGTAATTTCCAAAGAAAAATGTTGTTTGGTCATTCATCCTCCCTAAGGTGAGTTATAGTGGAGGATCTCATCTGTAGCCCAAGCTGTTACAATGCAGAGGGTGGCAACATCTTTACCCATAGTGAATAGTCCCTATTTATTAGCTCTTCATATTCCTTGAGGCGACCACTTTTTTTAAAGTTCTGAAATCTGCAAAAAAATTATTTTTTTCACTAGCTCTAAAATCCGAGCCTCAGGTTACTTACATCGTGTTAATGTCTTCTGTGTATTCTTCCACCCATATGATGCGATGGATGGCCACACTCCGGCTACTGCCACACACAGGAATGTCCCCTGAGCTGTACTTTTGGCTTTTTCAATAAAGGTAAGTGGGGAAAAGGAATGCCTCATTTTTCTAATTTCAGGACCACTCTTAAAACTCTGGTTTTGGGGGGCGCCTGGCGGGCTCAGTTGGAAGAGCGTGCGACTCTTGATCTTGGGGTCGTGAGTTTGAGCCCCGCGTTGGGTGTAGAGATTGCTAAAATAAATAAATAAATAAATAAATAAATAAATAAATAAATAAATAAATAAATAAAATTAACTTTAAAAAACCTCTAGCTTCGTTCCTAAAATAAACTTCCAGCTTATTTTCATTTTCTCAGGGAGTGTTCTGCTTTTCTGCTTTACGGCTGCAGGTGTGCGTCAAAGTGGACTAAGTACTTTAGGAGGATTATAAAGAAATGTGACACAACATTAATGCAGGAAAAGCACAGTCTTGAAGATAAAACATCCCTACATACAAGAAATGGCCCTGGTTACAAAGCAAGTACAAGCAAAGACATGATAATGTGGTAGCAACTGTCTATAAGACTACGAAGGGGCTCCCTGTATACCTACTGAATCAGTGATTAAAGGGATCATCACAGGGGCGCCTGGGTGGCTCAGTCAGTTGAGTGTCCAACTCTTGATCTCAGCTCAGGTCTTGATCTCAGTGAGTTCAAACCCCTGTCGTGAGTTCAAGCCCCACGTTGGGCTCCACAACAGGTGTGGAGCCTACTTAAAAAGAAAGAAAAAAGAAAGGGATCCTCATAGGTGAGAGGAGCCAGTAATGAGTCTTGAGCTAAGTTTTGAAGGAAAGGAGAGGATATTAGTTGGTCAAGAATAGTTTGGAGAGGGCGCCTGGGTGGCTCAGTTGGTTAAGCGACTGCCTTCGGCTCAGGTCATGATCCTGGAGTCCCGGGATCGAGTCCCGCATCGGGCTCCCTGCTCGGCAGGGAGTCTGCTTCTCCCTCTGACCCTCCCCCCTCTCATGTGCTTGCTCTCTCTCATTCTCTCTCTCTCAAATAAATAAATAAAATCTTTAAAAAAAAAAAAAGAATAGTTTGGAGATCGAATAGGTCTAAGGATAGGTTGCAGGTTGAAGGTGGGTCATATGCAGTGTCGCAAAGATGGAAGCAAGCAAAAAGCGGGATAGAGTAAGAAGACTGGCTTTCACACATCAATTTGACAACTGTTGGGACCTCTGGACACAGTGGAAAGTAAAGCAGATAAGTTCCTTGCCCTCATGGAGCTTACGTTCTAGAAGGTTGAGAGTCAATAAAAAAGTAATCTGCAAGTCAGGTAATTATAAATTGTAATGGTATGAGGGGAACAAACAGGGTGCTTTATCAGAGAATTAGGTGGGAGTGAGGGAAATTTTTTTTTTTTAAAGATTTTATTTATTTGACAGAGAGAGACACAGCGAGAGGGGGAACACAGGCAGGGAGAGTGGAAGAGGGAGAAGCAGGCTTCCCGCTGAGCAGGGAGCCCGATGCGGGGCTCGATCCCAGGACCCCGGGATCATGACCTGAGCCGAAGGCAGACGCTTAATGACTGAGCCACCCAGGTGCCCCTGAGGGAAATATTTTAAGTGCTCTGAGAGGTGATATTTGAGATGAGACCTGAAAGATGACAATGAGCCAACCGTGCAAAGAGCTAGGGAGAAGAGCATTCTGGCAGAGGGAACAGAGGTGCAAAAGTGTGTGTGAGAGATGAGGCTGGACAGAGGGTCAGATCATATGTCACTGTTGGCGCCATAATAAGAAGTTAGATTTGGGGGCACCTGGGTGACTCAGTGGGTTAAGCGTCTGCCTTCGGCTCAGGTCATGATCCCAGGGTCCTGGGATCGAGCCCCGCATGGGGCTTCCTGCTCGGCGGGAAGTCTGTTTCTCCCTCTCTTTCTGCCCCTCCCCACCCCACTTGTTCTCTCTCCCAAATAGATAAATAAAATCTTTTTAAAAATGAAATGATGCCTTAGATTTGAATGGTAGCACTAAAGCTGGAGAGAAGAGAGTATTCAGACATATTTTGGAGTTGAACTCAGCAGGATTTGAGGAGCAATTGAATGTAGCAAATAAAAGGAAGCAATTAAAGATGGCACCTAGGTTTTCGGCTTTTGACTTGATTGACAAGGTGGATAATGTTGCCATGTGACAATGTAGGGTAGATTTTTGGTGGGGAAGGAATTACAAGTTCTCTTTTGGACATGTTAGATTTGAAATGCCCATGAAACATCCAAGTAGAGAAGTCAAGCAGACAGTTGTCCAAACCTGGGGTGAGAGAATGATGATCCCTGCCTCAAGGGTATCCACATCCTTATCTCTGGAACCTGTGACTATTTACCTCATATGGCAAAAGGGACTTTGCAGATGTGATTAAGGTTTAAGGACATTGAGATGGAGAGATGATCATGGTTTATCTAGGTGTGCCCAATCTAATCACATGAGTCCTTAACCATGGAAGAGGGAGGTAGTGAAGAGCGGGTCGGAGAGACTCAAGGATGGAACAAGAGGCAGAAGAAATGGGGCATGAGAAGGACTTGACTCATTGCTGCTAACTTTGAAGACAAAGGTGCCCATGAGCCAAGGTGTAGGGTGGCCTCTAGAAGCTGAGAATAACCCTCAGCTGACTGCCAGCAAGGAAAGAGGATTCCAGTCTTACAACCACAAGGAGTTGAATTCAGCCAACAACCTGAATGAGCCTGGAAATGGGCAGTCCCCCAGGGCCTCCAGAAAGGGCCACAGTCCTGCTAGAGCCCTTGGTTTTAGCCCAGTGAGTACCATGTCAGAGTTCTGACCTACAGAACTGTAAGATAATAAATTTGTGTTGCTTAAGCCACTGAGTTTGTGGTGATTTTTTACAGCTACAATAGGAAAGTAATACACCAGAACACTATTAATAATTATGTCAGAATAATAACGTATAACCCAGGACCGTCCTGGGCAAACCTGGACAAGTCTGGATGGAGTTCAGGGGAGAGTGGTGGCCGGAGATCGGAATCTGGGTGTTATCAGCAAAGAGATGGCTTTTAAAGCCAAGAGACTGAAAGACACCACCAAAGGAGTGGATGGGAAGAAACTCTTGGGGGAGGGTATGCAACATGAAATGACAAGGAAGAGCTGGTGGCTAAGACCTCACGATGTGAAGGAACTAGAACTCTTGTACTCTGCTGTTGGGGATGTGAAATGCTACAATCACTTGGGAAAACAGTCTGACAATTCCACTTCTAGGTATATACCTCAAGAGAAATGAAAATGGGTCCACGCAAAAACTTGTACACGAATGTTTATAGCAGCATCATGCATGATAGGCAAAAGGTGGAAACGACCCAAATGTCTATCCACTGATGAATGGATAAACAAAATGTGGTGTATCCATGCAGTCAAATACTACTTCGCAATAGAAAGGCACTGGCTACTAAATCACAAAAAAGCACAGATGAATCCCAAAAGTATATATATACATAGATTTTGATATATTGATTTATATACATACATCAAGTGAGAGAAGGCAGAACCCCCAAAAAAGGGGTACATACTGTATGATTCTATTTCTTCATTTTTTAGAGAGAGTGTGTGCACGAGCAGGGTAGGGGGGCGTAGAGGGAGAGGGGGAGAGAGAGAGAATCACGCAGGCTCCACGCCCAGTGCAGAGCCTGACACGGGGCTTAGGCTTGATCTCACAACCCTGAGATCATGACCTGAGCCGAAATCAAGAGTCAGACACTTAACCGACTGAGCCACCAAGGCGCCCCAACCATTTATTCTTTTAAAGTTTATTTTGTTTAGTAATCTTTACAACCAATGTGGGGCTCAAACCCACAATCCTGAGATCAAGAGTCACGTGCTCTTCCAACTGAACCAGCCAGGCTGCCCCTGTATGATTCCGTTTTATATGCAATTCTAGGAAAATGGAAACTACAGTGACAGAAAGCAGATCAGTGGTTGTTTGGGGAAAGAGGGAGAACTTTTAGTGTGGTT